TAAGCCCCTGGCATTAGGTCCTCATTTTTCCCCTCCCTCCCCGCTCCTCCCTTCCTCATGAGCCCTTGATAGTTTATAAATTGTTATTTTGTCAACCATCTATTTTCTTCACCACACTTTGCTGTAGCACCTTTATCTTCAGTGATCCTTTCCTGAAGGTGAGTATTGAGCGGGTCATTTAATCAGAACTAACTGTTCTTGAATTGGGGCTAGAGTTAAGTAGGAGCTCAAACTCCCATCTGCTTGTATGGGAAACAGAAAGATTTCTCCCAAATCTCCCCCAAATATATGTTAGACTTAGAACACTGCTTGCAGCTAATGGTAAATGATTGTCAAGTTACTTCCCTGAAGGCAGTCAGCTGCCAGCTTACTGTCTAGTCCCACCATGGGTAGACCTGCTCCCTGCTGCTAAGGACAATGGGCTACTTCTCCGTAAAGGTTTGCAGTCATCCATTTGGGTCCTACAGGTGGAGTTCACACCCTACTGATAATGGTCTCTATAGTTGAGCCAGGGAAGAGGTCAAGCCGGCTCAGTGACATCCAAAGTTAGGCTGCCATCCTGAATCTAGGATCCGTCCATCTTGCCACATGTGTACCCCCAATCCTTCCTCTTCCTATTGCATGTATACCCCTCCCACTACTGCATTACCTATAGCACAACTCCTTCCTGTGACGTATGTCTTCACCTGTAATTAGAGGGCTTGCATGTCCCCAGAGAATATAAAAGCCTTGGTTAGCATTAAATAGCTCTCTCCACGTGGACCACCAAGCAGGGCTGAGGTGAGCATTGCTACCATGAAATGTGTCTGACTCCATTATTTCAATCTTTCATGCTCTTGATTACTATAATCTTTACTTAATTTCACTGTACAGTTGCGCCTACCGGACCTGTGATAGGTGGCTGGATTCCCCTCACATGATTATACATGGGGTTTGCATGTCTAAGGTTTATTTTGGTGGTCATAATAGGACAAGATCAAAATCCTGTAAGACCAACTGCCTCAATAGCAGCCATAAGCCACCCAGCAACCAAAGAACAACACACACACTCAAAAAAAAAAGGGGGGGGGGAAACAAGCTACAAGCAGGAAAGCAAAACCTATATAAACAAAGAAGTACAGCATTGTCAATCATCCCCTGGGGTGACTGCACTACTGTCATCATAAGATTTCCCAATGACCCAGCACTCCAGCCACTGTCAGTCTGAGGAAACAGTTGCCAGGGGTTTTTGTCCTACCGGGTTCCATCTCTCCTTTGATGTGTCTCTGTCGAACCTAAGTATAAGGACTGATGCCTTCCTGCATCAGTTCTTCCAAGTGCAGATCCCTGCTCAGTGGATCACAACCTGTCATATGACTGCAGGGTGGGCACTGAGGTACTACGTGTCTGGTGATACTGGGTCCCTTTCCATTGGACACCCACTGAGCTAGTGGGGGTCCCCCCACGGTCCAATGAGTGCCATTTCTACATTACTGGGGCGGCCACTTTCTGCTTCCTCTCCCGTTCAAGTATGCCAGGCCTCAGTTGAAGGGTCCCCGCAGCTTTGAGGTAGGGTTCGGTTCATTCAGTGGAGCCTCTGTGTTCACAAAGTCCTTCTGGTGAAGACTGTAATTCTTTATAGGAGTAGAAAGCACCCTCTTTCTCCTGCAGAGAAGCTGGTGGTTTCAAACAGCTAACCTTGCAGGTAGCAGCCCAATGTGTAATCACTATGCCAACAGGGCTCCTATTATGTTATTGTGGCCAGGGGCATTACTTTTTAAATAAAATCGTTTTTGTTCTACCCTGCAAAATAAATGTGGTCTGGGTTTATATTTTTCCAAAGTGTTATATATATTTAATATAGTATATTAAAAAATAAAATTATGTCAACGGTGTATAAGGAAAATAGCAGGCCTCACAGATTTTCATACTTCCTAGACAGTAATCAAGGAGCCCTGGTGGCCAAGTGGACTACATATTGAGCTGCCAGTTACAAGGTCAGCAGTTAGAACTTATCAGTTTCTCCAAGAGAGAACGTGAAGGCTGCCTGCTCCTATAAATATTTAAACTCCACAGGGAGTCCAGGATGGATGACACCTTCAGGACCAGTGGTGAGAGTGGGGATACCAGGAGGTTGGAGGGAGGGTGGGACAGAAAGGGGGAACCGATTACAGGGACCTACATATAACCTCCTCCCTGGGGGACGGACAACAGAAAAGTGGGTGAAGGGA